TATATTTGCATTCAAGTTTAAAAACACACCAATTCCCTGTCATGTAACCTCTCCCTTTTCCCACACAGCAGGGTTATTGTTAGAACTACATGACATCATGACAGCACATATAAATAAACGCACCCCTTTTGGCTCATAGCGCGTGTCATGTCTGTGCCTTTAAGCTTTTCTGGGGTCATTTTACGGTGTTAAATGTCAGGCTGGCCATTTTAAGGTGGTAAAATGACGCTCAGATTGGTTTTAGGGTGGGGTGAGGCTTTAAGGTGGGCGTTGTTCCTCGAGACAAGAAAAAGGAGTGTTTAAGAGACAAAAATTTGAGATCCAGGCTATTTGAGAAATAAATTAGTAAACTAGGATCCAAACACTATCCCATGATTAAACCAGCCATAAAACAAGCAAGTTCAATTTGTTTAAGCAAAAACGAATACATCAAAAACATACTTTACACATCTGCCTTTCTATGATGTAGTATCTAAAGTTTGTCTAATATATTTTGATAAAGTGTAAGAAAGTTGCTGAGCTGCACATTAAATCATCCATAACTCTAACAGGCTGTGGAAGAAAAATACACACAAATAAGAAATACATCAGCAACTGTGTCTCCGAATAGAGCTCAGATTGTAGAGATCGTAGCTCAACTTGACGATGGCCTGCATGGGCTGCAGTTCCCTCACAGCACTATGCCATTCCGGCCAATCATTTAACATCATCACTCACCATATACGGTGTGCTGGTATCTATAGTAACAAAGGATGATGACACATTTTAACAGTACTTTTAAAGCATGGTAACAAAATTCTTTCTTTAGGTTTATATTATTTTCTTTTATTTGCCCGTTTCTATTTTTCATTCATTAAACCTCACCCAACAGTTCTGTTAAAAAAAGAGATACAAATGTGAGCAAACAAAAATGTCAATGTGCAGCTCCTCCATTAATACCATTTCCACAACTCCCCCTCTAATCCTAAAAAAAAGTAGGAGATAAACATTGTGATCTCAACCATCTTGCTATATAAATATATTATGATTCAGTATTGAGCAGTGTTACAAAAGGATGTGCTAAACAATGTAGCACATGTTGACTGGGACAGTTGGGTCTCATTAGTTTGCATTTACCTAGCCCTGTTGGAAGGGCTTTGATCCTGGTACTGGTTAAATAAAACAAAAGTTTTGAATGTATATGTTGCATCTGTAATTATTTATACAAATCTGAACGTAGTACAACTTATGGGATAGTTGGTAGATTAAGGAATTTGAAGTTATCACAATGTAAAATTTAAATTTAGTACAACTTACAGGATAGTTAGTAGAATAAGGAATTTAAAGTCATTAAAACGTAAAATTAGAAGTTAGGACAACTTACTAGAGAGTTAGTAGAATAAAGAATTTTAAGTTATTACAATGTAAATTTAGAAGTTAGCTCAACTTAGAGTTGAGTTCACAAAAATTATAATTCAGAGTTGAGCAAACTCAAAAGCAAAACTTAAGATATTTAGTTTAATTGGCCAAATTAAAATTTTATCGAAGTTTGTTGCCTTGAAATTTTGAGTTCATCCAACTTTTTTTTTTTGCAGTATTCTTGGTTTCTAAAAAAAAAAAAACGGATGAAAAAGTGATTATTTTCAAACCCTTTTTTAAAATGTTTTCTTATAATGACAAAACCAAAGCCTTGAAAACTGAATATTGCTAATTTAGCTATTAGGATGTAATTAAAAATGAAAAGAACCAATAATAAAGAATACAAACCTTTAGGGTTGCAGCTTACGATCTCTGTAGTATCTAAATAATCTAATGATTACTCAGATCTAATCATCTAATGATTATTCAGATAATTAATCGAGTAATTGTTTAAAACATTGCCCCCTTCTGCTGATATTCTATATGAATATTTTAGCATATTTTTTGGTCAATAGAAATGTTGGAAAAAACAAATAAAAGTTAGCAAATAAGGGTTTTCCTTTTTTGAATTGGAAAAAAAACATTCTAGAAAGAAGTGTAATAGCATGTCTTCAGTGCACTCTATATTTATGGCAAAGGATGCATCTGCAGCTAAAAAGAAAGGTACTAAAAGGTTCATCGTTCATTTGATATCCACTCAGTGTCAGCTTCCTGTGGTACAGACAAAAAAGTGCAGTTTAATTTTCCTATTGTACTCCTATTGAGAATTGTTCATCATCAAGAACCATGTTATCCCAATAATGTACTTAATTGCCTAGTTATGCATCTTTGTTTTTTTTTTTAATAACAGAAATTAAGAAAACAACAACGACAACAACTATGAACATATCGCCAAAAAAGCTCTGCTGTAAAATTGACAATTCTGATCGGTCTATGCAGCAGGTTGTGGTGAAAATGACTTTTATTCTGCAGCTCTCTGCTTATTCCATAAAGTTTAAAAGTTAAATGTCTATACAAAATATGTATACTTTTTGTTCAGTTTTGGCTTTATCACTGCTCCTAATGGGTATTTTTTTCAGCAAATTTCATGTTTTAGAGTCTATGTACTCTAGGGAATCATAATTCGATTAATAAAGGATTTATTTGAGTTATAATAAATTAGTTGATAATCGCTTCATCATCACATTTCATCTAATTTATTATTTCTACCTTGTTCTCAAGATCCTAACCACATCAAATGATGTCATATCCTTTCTGTCTTACAGCAATTTTGGTGAAAAATGTCTTTCTTTCTTTCTTTCTTTCTTTCTTTCTTTCTTTCTTTCTTTCTTTCTTTCTTTCTT